GTTTATTATGGTAGTATAATCTCACTTTAACTTGATTGAATCCGTCTTCCTCATGTGTTAAAATTCCTGTTTGGTAATCAGACTTGAACTGAAATTGTACAAGTATTCTTTTCATTCGATGTTGAAGATTCTTTTGTTTAAATGATTTTTAATGGATGACAGTGCCAAATAATGGGTCGAATTTTTCTGGCAATTTTACTTACGTAGATTAAGAGTAATTGTGTAGTTTAATCATGTTGCATCAGGGTAAATTAGAATGTATTTGAAAATATTTGGCCTTAGGAAAGTAACAGAGAAATTAAGTTTCCCGCGATAATAAACGTCGCTGTGTTGTAACAACCTATTACTTGGTCTGAACATTACTCAAATTACACTTTCTGCTGGCTTCCCTGATATGACCACTCTGACTGCAAGTTGAGGAAAAAGTGATTTTATTTGGAGGAAAGTTTGAGAGTCCTCACTTGGATCAAAAGTATCGAAAGCAAGGAGACTGCTTTGAGAATGTGGGCATCGTTGTGGAATTTCACGTTCACCACGGGGTTCTGAGTCACGGCTTCCTAAGCTAAGCCTCACTCTGCCCGAGGACTGGCGAAAGTGGAATTAAAAGCAGGTTATAGCCCTTCTTATGCAGCTCTTTGCTTCAGTTACTTAGTATAGGAGGGCGCTTAGAGGACTCTGGCGAGGTCATGGGTAGTCTTGCCTCCGAGTGCGTGTGTGCTAATTTCAGGTGTCTTACTGAGAGATGTGTGATTGACTGTGGGGAGAGAGCCTCCCAAAAGCAAGGCTTTCCTATGGGAAGTGTATCTAGGCTTTGCGTGAGCCAACTAGGAGTATAGGCTTGCAATAATGCTAATTAGTCAAATCCTTTTTAGAAATGAGTCTTTACATTTTGGCCTTGTCTGATCAGATCAGTAAAATTCAGGCAGTCCAATGTAAGGTGAAAATCCTGAGATCGTGGCTATTGCTGTCATTCTCCGTCACTCCCTAACTGTCGACTTCGCATGTTGCTCTGCTCTTACCTGTGCCTAAGCATATCGACGGTTAAGAAAGCAGAAGCCCATGCTTCTTGGGTGTTTTTCAAAAGAAATGAGTATGCGAAGACATAGCGACTAATGGAGAGTCAATTTAAGGTGTAGTTTAAAAGCATTTAAAACTTAAAGCTTTTTGGTTTAGCTTGTGGTGCCTGAACCCTGTCAGATTCCTGCTATGAAAGGCTTATTTGACTGCTGAAATCTACTCTGAGTATTTCTGACATATCTGTAATCTTGGAAACAAATAATCTTTTGAGAAGGGAGAGAGCCAGCTTTCAAGAGGAGGGTAACATTAATCTAATCTAATTTGTCTAATCTAACTGTGCTTGACAATTCGATATCTGTTTATATGTATTCTGATATATTGTTTAGCAGCACAGCTTTGTTACACTTGAGATAACATTTTCCGTGTGGAGTTAGGTGGAAAAAAGCAGATGCATGTAATTTCCTTTTTCTTCATTGATGCCTGTTTGCTGAGAGAGATTTCCATACAATCTCTTTCACCTTTTTTCCAATGACTGCGATTATAGAAATGTGTTGGCTGTTAGGTTGAGTTCTTGTTTTATTAGAAGGGAATAGGCCTCAATTATGGCTTTCTAGTAGAAAGCAGAGCGCGATTCGTCGAGGTTCCAGCACTGGCTGAGGTGGGGTCACGGATGAGGAGGAGCCCAGGCGAGGCTGTAGTCACAGGAGAACACTTCTCATGGCAATATGGTGCGGTCATTGGCATTCTCATAAAATACAGAAAACAGTGGTAGCTTTAAAGGAGGAATCCCCATCCCGTTCCTTTTGTTTTGTGGCCTTGTGTGAACCACGCATCCTCTGAAGTTTCATGTCACTCCTTTGTATGCTGAGGAGGCTGGGAGTTACCCAGGTTGCCTTGTGAAGCACAGTTGTTATTCCTAATTATGTCACTGCCCTGGTTTCAGCTGGGATCGAGTTGATTTTTCTTCCTAGTAGCTGGTAGGGTGCTGTGTTTTGGATTTAGGGTGAGAATAATGTTGATAAGACGCTGATGTTTTAGCTGTAGCTAGGTAGTGCTTACACTGGTCAAGGACTTTTCAGCTTCCCATGCTCAGCCCGGTGCACAAGGAGCTGGAGGGGGCACGGCCAGGCCAGCTGGCCCAGACTGGCCACAGGGCTAGTCCGTACCCTATGGCCTTGTGCCCAGTACAGAAACTGGGGGAGTTGGCCGGGGGGCAGCGATCGCTGCTGGGGGATGTGCTGGGCATCGGTTGGTGGGTGGTGAGCAATTGTATAGTCTATCACTTGCTGTGTATATTATATTATTATTATTACTATCGCTAGTATTCTATTTCATTTCACTTCAGTTATTAAACTGTTCTTAGCTCAACCCACGAGTTTCTGACTTCCACCCTTCCGATTCTCGCCCCCGTCGCGCTGGGGCGGGGGCAGCGAGCGAGCGGCTGCGTGGTGCTTGTTTGCCGGCTGGGGTTAAACCACGACAGTCGCTGATTTCAGCGCATGTGTTGTATACGTTATGGTAACCGATGGAAAACGAGCGGCACTTCTTGTTAAGCGTTCATGCATAATTAGATGGAAGAAATTCCTTAATGCCTTTCTGGTACCGAACGCCGCCTTTGCCTCAGTCTTTAACAGTCAGAGCAGTTGTTCTCGGGGTTGTTCTGGGGCCCTTGTGGTGTCCGAGAGCCAGCGCGAGTGAGGCGAGCCCCTGCTTCGGCGCTGTCCTGGCCGCAGCCTGTCTGCCTCAGCTCCGTCTCTCCGGTGTCTCTACAGGCCGTGGTTTCTGTCCCGTTTCGCTGGGCGCCGCTCCCTGCGCGGCGTGGGGGTGACTGAAAGCTTGGGGCGCCAGCGGCGGCCTGTGCCTGTGCTTTCTGGGAGAAGGGCTGGGGCCGTGGCGTTTTCCTCTCGAGTACCGCAGCGGAATTGTATCGCAGCAGCGAAAAGCGGAGGCGGGGAGGGGAGCGGAGCGCTGCCCCCGGCCGCGTCGCGCAGCGGCGAAAGGGGGGGGGGGGGGGGGGAGCGGGGCGCTCCCCCCTGCCGCGCCCCGGGCCCCTGCCGCCGCGCCGGCCCTTTCTCCGGGGCCGGCAGCCCCCGGCCCCCCCCCCCCCGGGGCGCCCCTGGGGCCCCACGGGGG